AGGATGGCTTAATTCTCTTCAACTGACTTCGCCATCAACTATTGTTGAGCCTTCGCCGTTCAAATACGACACATTATTGATTAACAACGTTGGAAACTAGTCTACGTTGCTTTCATTTTGGCTAACCCGGGTATATTTTTTTACGAGACCGTAATTTGTGGCTTGGAAGCAAAAACAATTTATGACCTGAGGCAAAAGCCTTGTCTTATTTCTTAGCAGCAAAACTTATTTCCACAACGTATGCTTCTTGCGTAGCTAATTAGGAAACATTTTGCCTCTGCAATGATGTTTCCAAGTTTAGCCAGGCCTTTGGGCAGATGCTTAGATCATTAAACTGCATGGGGATGAGAGCGATATTCGCTGCTATAAACACTACTTGAGCAGTAACGAAAATAAGACTTTCTGATCATGAATTGGGAAGGAGATAAACCGGCGATGCGAATGGCATCAGCCAAGAAGTCAATCAGTTCCCGTTTAGTTCATTCAAGTTGTGTTCGCGTAAACCCTGCTTTTAATGGTTCCAATTAGGAAGCTGAGTCGTATAATAGGCTTTCATAAGATTATTTTGTTATTTTGAGTGTGTCAGAGACTTCTACATGTTCGTAAATAAAAAAATTGAATCTTTGATTGAGGAAAATTCATGTTATTAATTGACACTACATTGCAAAAGTATCTATAACTTGACCTTTGAGTAGGCATGTAATAACGGTTAAGCAAGGAAGAATTGCACTTCCGGGAGACAAATAGCCAGGTGTGCGTTGAATAATAGGGTGACTCTACATTTTCATTTGTATTTTAATCTTCCTTTATGACATCATACCAGGAAGTCCTCAAAAACTGCACTAGACAAACTTTCCTACCTTCACACAAGCTAAGAAGTAACTTTATCTCCTCGTCCAATAAACTCCCTCTCCTATTTTGGGACCTGCTTAAGTCTCTTCTATTTTGAGTTTGCCGTCGGCCATTGTTGACGGTGCTAGTTCTTAAGACACATTGATCAGGAACGACGGAGACTAGTCAACATTTATTTCATAGTGGCAAAGCCGTAAAAAAAATTTCAGGAGGCTTAATTTGCGTCATGCAAGGAAAAGCATTGTCATGTTTCTTAGCAGCTAAACTTGTTTCCGCAGCATATGTTTCTGGCCTGGCTAATTAAAAGACATGGGCTTTTGGGAAGATGCGTAGATAGTTGAACTGTATAAGCCTTAGTGAAGGGGGAGTTTGAAGTAGTTTGGTTGTGTCGTTAAAAAATATACTTGATCTCTCCACAAGGTTCTACATTATTCGAAGCGTCCTTGCTCTTTCACCGTGAATTTCAGGTTTCTCTAGTCCTCGTTCAATATTCTGTTAGCGACTTCTGATGCTCTCTCCGTTCCTCAAAAGTCCTATGCGTCATAGTACAGTGATTTACTAAGCATTTATACAGCGGTGTTCTTGAGACGTGGCATTTACAAATTGTGATGAATTGGCCGCCAGCCTTAAGATACCTGATCCAATTGAGAGAACATTCTGCTCAGCAGAGTTAATTTGGCGAATAACTTTCGGAAAGTTGTCCACAAGACTCTGCGGCATATATTTTACTACATGAGGGAAGATAACTACATGGTCAAGGATACACAATTGCCATTGGACCAGTTTTCTGCTTTCTTAAGGATAAAACATGTAAGTATGGAACATCTCTCGTTTACATCAGAGCGAAGTATTCTGGTTTCCATTCTATATTATTCAAAAATAAAACCTCTTATGCTGTTAATGACCCAATTAAATCCACAGTCAAATGAACACTGCATAATAAATTGAGCCTAAATGTCTAAACATGAACTCTTTTGGTTGCCCTTCGAAATTCTCTGAAGGATGATTTTCACATAATGCATACTTTCAGCAGCAGTTGACACAAGGATATGAATTGAGTTTTTTATTAAATGTATCTTAAATCCTCAATGACATGAAATGTGCCAGGCCAAGCCGTAGACGCATCGTCTTTGTCCCACATATTACCTTACAATGTAGGCGACCAACCAACTTCAAGGGGCTACTTTATATCTTTTATCTTAATATTGTATTTTACCCTGGGTAGGTGGCGTTTTTTGGGGGGATTGCGTTACAAAAAGAAATGGTGTCGAGTGCGTGAAATGCTTGAAGATTACAATCACATTATATAAGTTAGGAGATGCCAACTCGTCACGTGTGATCTTAATAAAAGGGAAATGGATATGTTTAGGCGAGAAGTCTGATGGATACTAACACTGATTCTCTGTGTGTTTGGTGGATAACATATATTTTTCTCGATCTTTTTTCCACTTTCAGAAATATTAGCAGTTGGCAATCTAAAGCGTTTGCTCCTATTGCTGCTCTTCATTATCAAAGAATACTACTAATTCTTATTTATTGATATGTATTATATCATGTAAATTATTTCTATGATCATTTTGCGTTACTAGCCTGAATAGCGTAGGATACAACGAA